TGTTTCGTAGCACGTACACATAGTATACACTTATAACACGACATTGCTAGATCACACAGTGCATTGAGGAGTAACATGTGGACGACGACCGCACCGGAAGAGGAAAATTAGATGGGGGGTCTATGTCTCCCCAACGGCAGGACTTGCTCGGCTTTCAGATTACGTTATCGAAGGACAAGCTCAATGTAGCTAGGTTTGACAGGACACTGTGAAAACTATCGAGCTTCGTCTTTAATCCGTCACAGTTCAGATGATGCTGCTCACACGATGATGAGTCCAATCTGTGTTACATCAAGCTTTAAGTGGGCGCGGTGCTGCTCTGATCGACCCACAAGGCGCTTGTCATTATTTTGCGATCGTAAAATTAACGACCATACAAGAGCCTTATCTCACCTATAGTCGCTGGAAGTAAGCACACCATGCTCGGAAGATCAATTCACATGATCGATTTCATAGATTTTCTCCTTATTCTCAAGGAAATCTGCGAAAACTTTTTTCAAAGCGGAAGTGTTCTTCCGACTTTAATCGGGTCATCTAGTCATTGCTCATCACATAGCTATTTCTTCGTCATTTTTATCAGCTGTTGTCAAGTAACCTTGCTACGAGATAGATATTAACTGCATTGGAAAGAAAAACATGAGGTTTTTCTGAATTCTGACTCACACCTGATCAGCTTGTTATCAGTAGCAGTTTCGATTACGCTGATGGTATCAATCGAGGCCAGCCAGAACGTTTTGCACTATTGGCCGATTTTCATTTAAATTAGGTTCTATGCAGCTCGAGTTCCCAGCAAATTGCTCAATATCTCCGTCAATTATGTATTAGATTTGCTCACTGTTTTATTTGGTGAAGAATTCCTTCTTCCGTGAGTGTTGCTGTGGTGAATGTTGAAAACCAGTCAAACGAAAGTACCGAACCCGGGAAACCGGATGCAGATAATTCTCTGCACTCTCCTCGCTTATTTTCCGATGAGGCACGAAACTGAAGCTTCTAGCAGAAGTAATCTCATCAATTCGTGAAGAAATGCTTTCCTGATTTTGCTGTGAATCTAATACTGAAAAAGGTTCGCCCTCGCCTATTTTTGCTCGTTAGAAGAATCCCTAATTTTTCGCGTAAGTAAATCTGATCTCAAGGGGAACAACTTGATGATGGCAGAACCTGCGACAGCTTGTAAACAGCTGTACAAACCAGGAAAATGGCGTTTCTCAGCAACAGCTAGAATTTCTTATTGGTTGACTTTTTCAGAAGATGCGTCGCTTAAAACGTAGTGAGGAAGATTTTCTGGGCAACTTTAGTCCGTGGCTCACAATTCTGTTCCTTCTAGGATCCTTGAAATACTTTCAAGGCGCATCCTCTACTTTACTTGTGACTGACAGGAATTCAAGTGACTGGCACCAACTCCGCTAGGGGGAAGCGCCTGTGACAATGAAAATCTCATGGGCTAAGAAATAGAACCTGAGTTGGCTGGGCAAAATTCTTGAAACATCGGATGCAGTGGAATTTTTCCTGGTGTCCTTAACGATTTAACGATCATGCCTGCACAAGGATGATAGAATGTTTTACTGGAAGGAAATTATTTGACAATTTTTGTCGTGTTTTCACCCTACTTTGATTCTTCTACAGCACCACCTCGTAAGCAGAATGCGGCCTCGCTCTCACCGCCTATCCCTGTGAACATTTTCACTGCTCTCTTCTCTACCGACCCTTGTACATACGTCTTCTCTACTGATCCTTACACACACGACTTCCTCTCTGACTGGGTCAATTACGAGATCCCCCGCCAAGGATTCTTCTTCAACGCCCGCATAAATCTATAGCTCCTCTCCCCAGGTTTAGGCCAGAAATTCCCATATCGTTGCTCACAATCGTTTTCGGATTGTTTGATGCTGAAAGCCATTAAAATAAAAAAAGATCGGAAAAACTGTGCAGAAACGAAGCTCGTGAACGCTCATAGCTCCAGAGCGCTCCTTGCTCAAAATTGAGATTTCAAAATTGGACGAAAGTTTGTACCAAAATTCCCCTCCATACTGGAACTATTTTATATCTTCGGCTTCCGAAGCTTCTTCAGCTTTTCAGCTATTATTGTTCAAGCTATTTAACGTTGTTTAACTTTGAATAATTTATCCCAATGTCGCATTCTATGTTAACGAAATTTTCGCCTATCTCTATAGTGCTTGTGGGTCATCGCTGTCTGCTACCAATTTCACGGCTTTTTATGCAGCTGATCAACTGATGGCTCTTCTACGGGTCATATTCTTATTACTGATGTCAGCATGCCTGGACTCTGAAGAGTTTTGCGGTTAGTCATTGGTTATATCCCTACACTACATCACCTCATTTGAGATAACATAGGATTTCATGTTGGGGAGAACTGCGAAAAAGATTGTTATATGAGAAACCATGTCCCTCGTCCTTGACCAGTTTCAGGTGTTTTGAGGGGCGCGCAGATATGTGTTAATGGTTATCGTAGTCTGTCTGTTTTTCCTGTATCTAAAGTCGGGTGTAGTCCCGGAGAAACATTTTTTCGTATCGTTGTACAATCTCATCCTTGCACTTGATAGTCAATGTCAGTGCGGCTGCGTGCGGCGCGGTCGCCGCCCGCCCGCACCCGTACTGCACCAATCGTTGAACCAGGAAGTGACATTACTGTATTATATCCTTCGTGTTACTCGTTTTCTATCACTTTTTGTCGCATACGCGTTTCAACGAAAAGGCTGAGAAGGCTTCAAACAGTGTGCACGCTCCTTCTCGCCGACACGCCCCTATCAAGTGCAAGGATGACGACTGTACTTGTTTGCTCCCATATCACCCCCCCCCGCCTCCCCCCATTTTGACGGCAGTTTTTTTTTTTGGGAGGGGGGGTGGGGGTGGTCTGTCTTGAATCTAAAATCTCTTGAAAAATGGAAAGCATAGAAAAATGGTGGACAGGATCAAGGAAGGGGTTCTCTCGGGGGTATGAAAATTTGGGAGGAAGGATCCCCTGATATTTTCTTTAACATTTGCCTCTCACCATGAGCGGAGATACAAACGCAACGGAATGCTTTACTTCTTAAGGCGGCTTCTGATGCCTTAGAGCATTTATATCAGGACAAAAATGAAGTTATGGCTGCTTGATCGACTCCTATTTTGGATACGGCAATATTGTTCCATTTAGAAGTCGTGGCCTTTGTTGAGATGTGACCCACAGAGTTGTATCCGAAATCCACTGTACACTTGAGTATTCTTCCTTCTCTAACGGACGTGGTACCAGATCACGTGCCCTGCTAAATGGCGAGCCGATCCTCGGACCTGACTTGCTGAGTTACCCTCGCAACAGAGTGGGAGCATCTCGTCACAGGCGCCACCCGACCATGTGTCCACGGCCAAACGACTGGTTGTCAAGGAATCCGGAAAATGTCGAGGAGTGTGTCAGGAAGTTCGATTCAGGAAGTGGTAGAAATCTAATACATTGCCTACCTGATTACAAGCTCCATCCAGTGCTAAATGGCTTTCCATAGTTCCTCCCATCCCAGCTGAAAGATGAAGAGCAGTTAGGAAATGCATGCCCTACTTGTAAATTCTGAGCCTTTTATTGCTTCTGATTTAGCAGTTTATGCCAAAGAGCACTAATTTTCACCGCGACCGACGCAGTGAAGCGACACCGACATGGGCACATCAGACAACTTGCCACTGACGATGCTTTCCGCCAACATTCAAAGTACCACGCTGTGTAATACTTCTTCCACAAAACATATCGTGGGTGGCCCAAAATTTTTTAAAATTCTGTTTAAACCAAGGCGCAGAACATTGCATAAAGACTCCATGAATTAGGAGGCGAAAAGAAAGAGCCATGGGTGAACGTCGCGATTCTAGCCCCTGCGCTGATAATACATATTAATGGAGGGCAGCGGGGCTTAGAAAAAGAAACTGTCTATGCAGGTGAGCCGTGAATAAGAGAAAACTTAAGATTGGGCTTTTTCCTGCCATTTTTGAGCATTGCTCGTATACAAAAAGAAAAAGACCGAGCGTTTGGTTTAACTAATAGTTGATACAACAAAAACAAGCCAATCTCCGTGAGGTATGAGTAGTGGACTTATCGCTCCGAGGGTTTTGGAGAAACCAGTCTTCCACAGGCTTCCTTGCTACCCATTTTGGATTGAATAAGGTAGGGACACAACCATTTTACACGGGAGGGATTATACGTCCGCAACAAGAACGTGAATAGCCCATCAACAAACGCAAAATCCCTGGTTTTAATAGCCCAGTACATAGGCTAAGGCTTCGTCCCAAACTTAGATTGCTTACGAATAGCACGACTTTATGCGTTTGAGATTAGCACTGGCATAAGATTCTCTTAAAGACGCCTAGTTAAGACGAGCCCATTTAGCGATATTCACTTTTTCTTTTGTTGGATAGCTGTAGAAGACGACTGCGCTAAATACCACGGGGATGAAGTAAGAGCGTCTGCCTGGCGATGTAAAACGGCAGCCATCGCTCGGTGGAGTACTCGGCAATTTGGTATTATTACACTCACACCTTCGTGTACCACAAGACACGATGACAGTCACCAAGGTAGAAATGCCCGTCAAAAAAGCGCGTCCTACAATATGTTAAATTCAACCACGCTCTATCTCTCCCTTTACTTATCATTAATAGCACTTTTTGTAGGCTAGATTTTGGTTAGCTTCAGCTTATTCTACTCAAGCGACGGTATGAGAGATCACTTATTCGTGTAAGTCAGTGCGACACTACATCTTCACAGATGTAAATAAATATATAATTATTAGTGTGAGTCTAAACCTTTTGCGGCCTCTGACACCCTACGCTAGGGTATCAGTTGACTCAAACGCGTTCCCAAAAAGTTTCTCTCTCTGTTGAGAAATCGAAAATAGGCCTAGTGTATTGTGAGGTCAACAACTGATTGTGGCATCGCAGTGATACTTGACTTGGATCGTACGTACACCACCAACGAAGGTTTCTACGACGTCCGCCTCTTCATTCGGGACACTATTGCCGCATGCATGACGAGAGGAATAGGTTATAGAACCTTTATTTATCCTATGTTCAACTCGGTACGTCCTTTCTAGTCTCATCTCGACTTGAATAGGTATCGACCCGTTTATTTTAGTCCATTCAAACGGTTTGTTGTGCGGAAGATGTGTGCAGTCAGCAGATCCAACTGATGAATTACGACGATTACGTCGTGGACTACGATTCACTGGCACCTCTACAAAATGAGACTGGCAAAGCGAACTTCACATATGCATTAGTCGGTTTGGTGAGCGGTTTTCCTTTAGACGCGGACAACTGGCAATTATAAGAACAGTACATAGCTTGTTCGATTCATTCACACATTGAGATTTTTCGACGCGAATTCAAAATTTCTACTGAATTTGGCGAAAAAAGGCATTCCAGATGAAGCAGTTTGCTCAGCCAAGCACAAAGTGTCTCTACAATACGATTGTATTGCTAACAAATCGCATATTCGTCACTGATCAAGAAATGCTTGGAAAGGTTCGTCAGTATCCATGGCATTCTTCACTATTGATAGACTTTTTTTTCTTCAAATCAAAACCTTATGTTGAGAAGAAGTCTCCAACAGCTCTTCCGACACTGTTTATATTAGGTTGGAAAGAAAGTCCTGTCAGTGTTTTTTGAATAGCTTACAGCTTTTGATTCTTGATGCTCGAACATGACGTAACATGCTATGCTTGTAGAACATTCTAGGAGCTTTCCCGCAAGAGGTACTGGTCTTCCCTGGGTTCATTTGCATGTCAGTTTCATGGGAACAGCTTCGAGTCATCATCTTCTATGGGTGGCGCCGCGGCAGTGGAGCGACGGCCGCTGTTCGCAACATCAACAGTGCATTGTGGGAGGATACCGCTACCATCAGGACTGTCCACCTCTGGTTCACTCGCTTCGCGAAAGGAGACACGATCCTCGAAGGCAGCCTCAGTTGGGACGGCCCCTCGAAATGGAAGACTCTACCGTTCTCGAAGGTGTCAAGGGGAAATCCGAGGCTACCAACCGCAGTCTTGTGGCTAGACTCGGATGTACCTAACTGATCCGTCTGTAAGCCCTTGACTATTGAAAAGTACTGGCTCGATGGATCATTCATACCATGACGAATGTCACTCTGTGCACCCGGGTACCCCTTCTCAGTCTTCCCTTCTCCGCCCTCGAAAGGAGTTCAAAGGAGACTACTCAGTGGAGACGAGAGACGGGTCTTCTGTGATTTCAGTCCACACACTATCGTGTGCCTCTCTCAAGGACCCATCCCAGCAGTCCAAGCCGGGCATGCAGTCTGAGAAGGTTCTCTTGTGTTGCTTCTAGGGCACGAGGGGAATGCTGCGCAAGGAACTGCTCTGTGAAAGCACTCGATTACCGTTACCATTTGCGCCGCTTAGCTCCAGAAACCCGTGGAAACTGTTGGAGAAAAATGACCGAGACTAGCTTCGGGGCACCTCGTTCGTGAGTACGCGAGACCCCATACTGCTATGGAGACCTACCAAATAATTGAGGAGCAAGGCTGGGAGACCAGTCCCCGCTCATCATATTCTCCTGACGTAGTCCCCTACGACTGCTACCTGCTCCGCCTCCTTCAAGGCTTTCTTAGCTAAGAAAACTTTCAGCAACTTTGATGACATCAGTCGAGAGGCCGCGACTTACTCGACTCGCAGCCTTCCTAGTTCTGGGAGGAGGGGAATGCTTACCTGCCATTAGGTAGAGCACTGTAGTGACTAACCATGACGAGTATATTGTTGATTAATTTTCATTGTATGTTGAGAAAATAAGAAAGAAAAAAGTCACAACAGTGACAAGACTTTCTTTTCAACCATATTTTGCTGCTCCTTCCCTTGGAACTTAAGTATTGAAAATTGGCAAATGATTCGTTCCACTTCTTTGACACAAAGTCATGAAGCAAACCATAAAAGGGACGTCATTTTGGTGGAAAAGACCATTTCGGATGTTGAAACGAAAGAGGTTTCAGCTCACTTTACAAATTCAGAATTTCTTTTCAACCTAGAGCCATTCTAGGATGTTGCCAACATTGTCAACTACGGCTGCATTACGTTCACTGTGATCGCTCTGGGCAATACCGGTATTACCCAGGAAATGATGTATGAGTATTACTCGTGCTACACACAGCGGCTTTTCGTCGTTCCTGGTTATAACTGCATCACCAAACTAGACGTAGGTTTGAATAACTTTTCAGAGAGTTTGACTAGATAGTACGACAGGCGGTTGTGAAGCGGCGCCGTTCGCCAATGAACAGGAGCGTCGCCGCAGCCGCTAATTTACCTTGCCAGTACGATTAATCCACCCTCACAGTTCAGAAATGTATCCGACCATGTGGTGCTGAGGGTGCGAATGATTGTCAGACCGAGCAGCTAACGACTTGTCCATATCCAACCACACCGACTAGACTGACCACCACAGAACCACCACCACTTACTACCGTATGTTTCTCTTCGTTAAGTCTACAAAAAACTAAATGGTCCCTACAATCAATTATACATCGATTGCAGCATGAGTTGTTGCATAAATGACAATCTTTATCTTTATCTGAGGACGCGAACAAAGTTCGCGCTTAAGTGAAAAAAAACAACAACTGAAAGGCGTACATGAAACAAATCGAATCGAGAGAAATAAAAAAAACATTCGAAAGAGAGCATAAATAAAACTAATAACTGCGACCCATAAGAAATGAAGAGAAAGCACTGAATTATGAGTGATGAACATAAGATCTTAAAGGCACTTTCCGCGATAAAATAAGGCTATGACCTTTCAAATGTGTCAGACGATCCGGAAGGAGATTGCGGAGGC